CTCTCTCGACCCCCGAGGGGCCCTTACAGATATTAGGAATATTTTTTAAATTAATGTTTTAATTGTATTGTCTCTGTTATTTAACTTGAAATTATGTAATTTACATTTTTTGGGGGGCATTCTCTAATGGATTCCAATCATGAAACGGCAATTTACCTCTAATATTTGGGAGAAATTGCCAATTTTAAACGCATTTTTGTGCCTTTTTTTTTCGTGTAATGGACCCATTTAACTCCTAAATGGTGTCGATGACTCATTAATGGCTACGGATTCTCGGAATGACCTCTTGCTGCAAAAAGTGGAGTAATTTCGGGCCCTGTTAGAGAGGTTGTAGCGGGGATCGATATAGAAGGGCCCTAAATTTAATCATCTGTATAAAAACGCAATTCGAAAGCTATACGAAGTGGAAATATTTATTTTTATTTACGTATTTTGGCTTTAGAAGAGGTGTGGGGCCCATACGTCTCTCCGTTTTCCCTCTCTCTCTCTCAGGCCCTACTTCTCATCTCTCAGGCAGTCTCTCGCATTCCTACGTCTCGTCTGTCAGGCTCTCTCTTGCTTCTCTCAGGCCTTCTCGCTCGGATACTATATAAACTATTACAGAAAAAATTATTATAATGGGGCCCACTACCCCAAAAGAGCAGAAATATAAACGTTGACGCTCCTAAGAGCGACAAGTCTGGGATTCAAAGACCCTTACACAGCCCTCACACTACGGAATTGTAGGTTCTGTGTGGGGCCTTCCGAGATGGAGAAGATGCGGGATTTATCCCGGAGACTCAAGCTTACAGGAGCCCTGAAATTACACAGAGAAAGAGAGAGAAGGGGAAGAAAGAAATATGATAAACTGGGTGCGTCAACTTAGAAGGCATAGGGGGCCCAAGAGAGATCGTGGCTCTGTTTTCACATTAAGTTGATTATAATTAGTCATACTCATTGCCAATTTAGCTCCTGACATTATGATATTGGTAAACCCCACGTTATGGTATTAAAATTTATCACTATGGCCTTACATTACGTAAATGGAAGGCCCCACGTTATGGGACTAAAGTCTGTTAGGGGCCCCACAGTTTTCATATTCAGGAACGATCGGAACAAATGAAAGATTATATAATTATTCGAGATTAAATACATTTTCTGGAGGGCCTATGACGTAAATTAAACCCACCCGGATATAAGGTATACGTTATAAGCGGGAATACACTTAAAACGTGAGTCATTATAGATCTACTGGCTACGTGTTGGCTGTATTAATTTATAGAGCTATTTTACACAATATCATACTAGAAATTGGGTAATTTAAAGTGAAATTAATGGTAATAGACACAAAAAAAACCTTCAAAAAACCATTTTAAATCAAGACTTTTCAGTTGGCGAGTGACAAAACCCTCGGGAGCTATAAGAATGCCAAAGCAATATTGCAGTCTTTCAACACGACGAAACGGGATTATCGACCGGAAAAATAATAAAAAAAAACACCGATTTTAGAATCTAAAACCCACCAAAATACCCAAAATCTTCCATAAAAATCCCACAAGATTAAATAAATTCCATTTAAAATGGCTTAAAATCACCATTTTTTGGGTCAGTTCTCGTCTACTCGAACTCGTCTCGAGTTGCCACGCGCGTAAAACCTCTTTGCACTAAGATTTGTGAAGGTTTCGGATCGTTGAGGCCTTAGAAAATAGGCCCACCAATGGCCGAGTGGATAAAGCCATCGCACACTGGTCGTGCAGTTTACCGGGTTTTATTCACGTTACTAACACCCGAATAGGGGTCAGCTTTCCGTAGAAAGGCCTCCCGGGAGGCATATCTCCCACTTGTCGCATTGCCGTATATATATAAAACATACAAAAAAAGGGGGCCCCAATGTTTCCAAGAGTTTATGCTGTGTAAACTTTGTGTCACGCTATACTCGGCATCGAACAGCTACTAGTTTACGATCGAATTTCTGCGCGGGGCCCGGGGTAGAGAGAGCCCTTTTGCCATGTATTTTTGAATAAATGAAATACATAGAATGTTTCTTAAAATATTTTATTTTCTGTTGATGAAAGTAACATTAACAGGGTACAATTAGCAGGGCCCGACTCCCAGTCTCGATGATCCTACCTAGCAACAAGTTAATCGAGGAATTTCGAAGGCCCTTCTGGTCTTCTGTCTAAGTTAGTAAGGCCCTTATATAAGCGGAAATAGAAGGATATCGGCCTATAGCAGGGCCTTTCTAAAAGGATAAGACATTACAGTATTTGAACCTGTATTAAAGGGCCTCACTAGTATCTAGGGCGTTTCATTCCGAGGGCATCGGATACTCAAATAAATGTGTAATGAAATTCCTTTTTAAAAGTAATGAAAAAAATCTGCTTTTTATTTGTTTTGTTCATTTTCTTCGCGTATTTTTAAGGAGCAAGAAGAAGGGCAAGGCCCTTCTTCACCTATATCAGGCCCCAGTTATTAATTACAAATTCCATAAAATATCTCATTCAAGATTAATTTAATTAAACTTCTCATTTATAAAAATATATTATTAAGCCTATTTAATATTTTAATAAATGGAAATATTCTTTATATTATAGTAATTAATTTATTATAATTAATTTAATGTTTAAAGTTATTTTTTCAAATGTTCATTTTAATTGTTCTTAATGAATGTCAAATACTATTTTTCCCTATAGCGTGAGTCTAAAGTCCCGTTTTCCTCTATTCAGCGAATACTAAATTCCCTTTATCCCTATTCAGCGAGTACTAAATTCTCTTTTTTCCCTATTCAGCGAGTACTAAATTCCCCTTTTCCCTATCCAACAAGTACTAAATTCCCTTTTCCCTATCCAACAAGTACTAAATTCCCTTTTCCCTATCCAACAAGTACTAAATTCCCTTTTCCCTATCCAACAAGTACTAAATTCCCTTTTTCCCTATTCAGCGAGTACTAAATCCCGTTTTCCCCTATTCAGCAAATACTAAATTCCCTTTTTCCCTATTCAGCGAGTACTAAATCCCGTTTTTCCCCATCGAACGAACAAAAAAATTTAGCGATATTAATATCCAACGAAACCGTACACGGCGTAACATCGAATATCAAACAAGATTTGATTAATTGCCCGGAATTAACGCCATGAAAATTAAACCACCGAACGTCGTAACGTCATAAATTAGAGCGAATTACACAGGTGTTACGGGCGGATAACGCTCGCCACTTTCTTAAATTCACCCGAGGAAGTGTTACTGCTCTTCCGAGACGAATCATTAACTCCTAACAGGAGTAACATCCCCGGATCGATAGGTCCAAAGTTTCGTAATGAAACAACAATTGCGGGGTGACGTATCCGAATGACACAAGGAAATGGAGCGAATTCGTACGAGGTGACGTAAAAGAAAAAGAGGGGACGATAACGGCAACTTTCGCCCCCCCCGTAAAGTATACACAAGAGATCGATTTCGTTTCAAAACGCATATTAACACGTCACAATACTCGCTTATCTTATCGACAGCGACATTTCGAACACGAGCGGCGAAGGGGGGGGAGGGTGAACGTGGGGTAATTTTTTAAAAATCGGGTTTATTGTTACGAACTTGCGCGTGGCTTTCTCTTCCCCCTTTAGAATGCGCGTGGCTTTCTCTTCCCCCTTTAGAACAGATGTAAATCACGAGCCAGTGTCGCAGTGTGTGTGTGTTTGTGAGGAGGGAGAACACAACGACTTTGATTTTTCTCCGGGAGTGAGTTTGAATCGATAATGACGTCACTGGTCTATCCGCTATCATTAAACCGAACCCGAGAGAACGATCGTGATTACACTTTAGAGAATTAATAAAACAACTCCATCCCACTCCAATTGTTATTGATTTATAAGCTGCAATCGTCGCCGCCGTGTGAACCGATCCTTTCTATCGACAACCGAACAAAAAAAAAAAAAAAACAAATGCGATTTACTTCTCTCGGGGGCCGAATTTAAACGTGCGGGCCTGAGTCGTGACGCGTAAGAGTCCCTTATTAACAGTGACGACCGACTACCACACGGGGCCTCAGGCAAACTCCGTAAGCTCTACTACCCCACCCTTGTTCGAATGAAGTGACATTAAGTTACATTTTGTTTTTTCCTTTATCTCGGGCCCCTAATCGGCTTAAGGGTTAATCTGCCACCGTTTGTAAGATTATAATAAACATAGAATAGCCAGGCCCCAAGTTGTAGTATATTTATAAATCGGGCTCCACTTCGATACAAAAATTGGATGATAATTTGAGAAAATACAAATTTGATTTTCGCACGGGCGGATTCAAATTTCGGCTGTTTGGGGGTCGGGTTTAGAGGCCCTAATTGGCGACGTGTAAGAAAGAGAGACCCTCGTCCGAAATCCTCGTCGTTTTAAATTTATTATTAACGCTACCCTCAAAAATTCGAGGCCCTAAACGGAAACTAGGGCCTCATCCGCTCGTTCGATGCAAAAACACGGACGATAATTTATAAATAGCAATATTATTTATGTCAGTTACGCTAAGAAGAGGCTGTGTTTTCATTTTTACGTCCGTGTTTTTTCTTTACAACGCTGGGGCCTGGCAATTTGTAGAAATTGAGAGGCCCCAGAACTAAATGGAAAAGGATTAAATCCTTCACCGAAATAACAATAAACTTAAAACAGCGAGGCCCTAAAGTAAATCGGGGCCGCTCGTTACGTGACGTCGGGAAATTTGCGCGTCGAAAGTTACGTTAAGGCGCGTCGTTGCCGTAATTTTCGCGCGGCATCCGTGACGTAAATAACGTAACGCTCGAGCCGAAATATTTTACAATTTTGTTACGAAAGTCGCCCCTTCGAGCGTTATCGATTAACTGTCGTAACGCCAACAAGTATCTACCGGTGTTGTAAGCGTCACACGAGAGCGGCAAGAGACGTTGGTATAATTTACGCGTGTCCGGGACATCCGTTCGGAGTTACGCGCGCGTGAAGCGAGGGAATCGAACCCGGTACCGTTTAAACGCGTGGCACAAGCGGCGCGTAACACTCACCGTCGTTGTCGTAGTGGCTCCAAACTTCGATGAACTGCGTGGCGGTCAAGTTCTTCAGATCGTAACTGCCTTTCTCCCTGAATCTCTTGAGGAAGTTGCCCCCGTATCTGGAACAGCCAGCCATGACGTCGTCGACGCACCACTCGACCTCCCCTTTTATCTGTCCGGTCGAAGGAAGCGCACGCGCACTGCGCGCGAGAGACGTAGAAAATATCCTGGCTGTCGGCTCTCTATCAGATTGCTTCTCCCCCGGCCGAGGACGGAAGACGATCTTCATCATCCCCGCCTCGGGAGGAGGATGAGGATGATGTAATTTTTTTTTTTTTTTTAACTTTCGGGTTCCTTCCGAGAGGCCGACGTGGTTCCTAAATAATAGGAGAAAAATGGGAGGTAAATTAAATTCGGTTGGGTGCTAGTAACGTAAACTACGGTATATAATAATTAGTATGCGTTTAACCTGTGTAATGGGAGAGAAAGAGTGGTTTTGTTGGATCGAATGGGTGTTTCGACCATCCTATTCTGCCTTTATAAAACAGAGATCCTGGGTTTGTGGCTGTAAACGGTTGTAATCCTGATAAACGGTAGAGTCTGCTAAACGGTTGCGATCCTGATAAACGGTTGTAATCCTGATAAACGGTAAACGGTTGTAATCCTGATAAACGGTAGAGTCTGCTAAACGGTTGCGATCCTGATAAACGGTTGTAATCCTGATAAACGGCTGCGATCCTGGTAATCGGCAGTGATTCCTATAGCTAGTGATCCTGATAAACAGCAGCGATGCTAATTAAGAAGAAAGATCCTGACGAACACGCATATTTTATATCGAACCGACATACAGGAGTTCCAACAATCCTGATAGAGTCTTTAAATCAGTAGTGGTATTCATCAAGATGCTATTAAGATAATATTATTGGACCACCCGTACGTCAGTTCGACCCAATAAAATTTGTATTATGTCAGCTGTGACGTCCATCAAGACCACTGTTGATATAAGATAATTAGAATTGTTTGACCGTATGTTTGTCAGTTCGATCCGTAAAAATTTTTCGAATCTTATCAATATAATTCAAAAATAAACAGCGAAATCGCTGTGTTCACACCACGAGAACTCAATTTTCTAGTGTTGTAAGTGAAGCAATTCCACCCTTTTATAACGTCGTCGATATTTACGTAATAGTAAACAGTATTGTTGTTAAAGATTAGAGTTACAGAAAAAAATGTATTGTATTTACGTGTAAGTTAATTTACGTGTTTTCATTGCGTATCAGTACCGTAAACGGTACACGAGTGCTTGCAGATAGAAAACAATTAAAGTACAGTACAGTACAATTACCCCCATTACTGGCAAAGAAACGAAGAAAAATCAGCAGGAAAGATAACAGGAGGGGAAAAAATGGTGCCACACACGGCAATACTGTTAAAGAAACGCAAAATTGAAGCCCGAAAATCCGAAAATGATTGATGATTTTCATAAAATGTTGTCACGTGTATAGATGGTAAGAGTAATTATAGTGTTCTGGTATGCAAATGAGATTGGTTTCCAGTCAAGAATATGTTCGACTCTGTGACGTCATCAATCAATTTGCATATTGAAATACGCGATGACTCCGCCGTTCACGAAGTGTAGTTTACTGGTTAAGTTCAATTAAACTGGTGTAAGGACAATTGTTCTGTGTTATAAGCTGGTATAAGATCAGTTCTTCTGACCTGTTCAAGAAAATTTCACAGAATAAGAGTTTATAACAGTTGTTTACACGGAACGACTGTTCTTTCTTACACCAGAATACAAAAAAACCAAAAAAATGTACTGAACAGAGAGTATAAACTATTTAATCAAACAATAGAACATACTCTAACCATATTTTAGGGCCTGATAATATGATGCTGACCTATCACAGGAGGAGCATTTGAAGCAGACCTCACATTTAAGGAATCTCAGGAAGTGTTAACACTTAAATTGGGGCGACTTTCCCAATGAAAATTCTTCTGGGAGGCACCTCCTTAACAGATCGCGGATACTCTATCACATGCTCTATCAAACCAAACCTTCATCAATGAGGCCCTAAGGTATAGACTCAAAACGCGAGGTTTGCAATTTGATCGATAGCAAATATTGATCGATTGTTGATTAGCAGATTGCGGTTCTTCTTGCACGAAAGAAGGATTATGTGTAATAATCATACCCTGTGGGAAAGAAACTAGAAAGGCCCCTTTGTCTGGTCCTCGAATTTACACAGGCCTCAAAAATCTCCGTTAGAAATGATTCGTTCCTTTGTTTTTCCCGTGTATTAATGAAGGGAAAAAACATTCATTTTTGTCAAATTTTATTATTGAAAAAAAATAAAATTGGGTCCCAAAAAAAATAAATAGCACCGGCTTTGTTGACTTAGGGCCTTGGTGGTAATTCTGTAGAATAATTTCGTTCAGTCTTTTATATGTAGGTAAACTAGATTCTTTTCCTGGGGCCTCGAGTTTTTAAGGGCATCAGACCCACACAAATAAACATATTCTCTTTTGCGTAGGGCCGAGTTTAGACTTGTGACGGGCCTAAGTTATTATGTAAAAGGCCCTTCATCTTCACCAAATAACAATATATAAAAGCGAGAGGTTCTAAGCTGCAAGCTTGTGCGGTTCCTAGTCTTGAGCCAATACAATTAATCGATACTAGCTAAGATCTTCCAAAGAGGAGGCCCTTCAGGGAAGACTTTCCGTGAGAAACTGACATCTATTTAGATGTTAGGCAAGTAAAGAAACCCTGAAAAACTGCAAGTGGTCAGCCCGTTGGTGAGGCGCGAATCCGCGACCATCAGAATTCAGGTGTTACATCTATTTGGCCATTGGTGGGCCCACTTTGAAGGGTCTCAGACAGATTTTGCTGGATCAAGTAGACTAGATGGTCCTTCAGTTAGCATTGGTGATTAAAGATCCTTAGCGTAAGTGAAAAACTTAAGAATCGTTCTAATCTCACCTATACTTTCGAATAATTTAATTACATTTATGTCGGTAACAAGGGCGCCCTTATAATGGGGCACTCCATTATCAATAAATAGAAATCATGCATAATGTATGGTGCCCTTTCTTTTTATAGCTTGTGGCCCCTTTTTATAGTCTGCGGGCGCCGCTATCATTTGTTATTTCATTTAATACAGACATCGAGGCCAAACCGCCATCTTATATAAGCATCTGCCATCTGGTGGTTTTATTACACACTACTCGCGTCCTTCCATATTCATCCCTCGTTTGAGATAAATACGAGCTAAGGCGAAAAATAATGTATCTGTATCTCTCATCAATCGATTGTGGGTACAAATATATGATGGGAAAAGGCCCTCTTAATGCGCGTATAACCATTGTTTCGTAGTTTAACTGAACACAAAAATGTGCAACGTTCAAGCAGAGTAACCTATACTTGAACTTAAACTTGCTGTAATGTAATCATTTTCACTAAATTAATTAATTAATTCCGCTGCTAGTAACTTTTTAAAGTCTCTAGCCTTTGGGTTTTTAGGAGCAAGCCCATTATAAATTCGGCCAGGCCTATAATAGGGCGGCGGAACTGGTTCACCCATCACTCTCCCGCTCTACTGGCCGAACCCACGATGGCTTTGTCTGAAAGGATCTTTTATTGTCTACAGGGCGAAGAGCCTAAATATACACTATGGGTGCGTTTTTTTATTCTGCTCTAAACGAGCGATGCGAGAACTAATATCACGTGACAGAACATACCGGGTTGTTCTCGGAGCTTGTGGTAATAAACGAACTTGATATACTAGGATCGAAATGTTAAAACTCAAACTATTATTTGCTTTCAGGTTTTTAACATGAAAATATATGTTTATCCACGTCTTTAATGTTGTATGCAGTGTATTCTTTACAATAGCTGCACACATAACAGTTTCTGCGTTACACCCGCTATGTTCAAGCTATTGCAAAGATTTGTGGGTAAGTTCTCTAATTCAATCTCGGAGCGTAAAGAGCTCTCGGAGACTCTGATACGTCAGGAAACACTCCGATTGAAATAACAACAACACCGAAGTTTGCTCCGAAGCACTTAACAACCGCTCTTATCGTTCTCTAAGTACTGTACTGGGAATAAATTAACAAACCAACTCAATATGGCATTCGAGACAACAGCCGCCATATTTAGTCCACTTTTAGTAGTGAAATGCCTACTAACTTATTACAGTACTTTACACCAGTGGTTCTCGATGGTATTGTAAATCACCGACCGAAAACAACTGTTAAATGCAGCTATGACGTCAAAATGTACACTTTCTAGAATGGGACGAGCCTTCGAAGAGGCCACGAGATAAAAGTCGGGAACTAGTCTTAGGCGATTAAACAGAAATTTTTAAATACAGTAGACCTCCTATAACACGGTAGATACGTTTCGTTTTATAAGAATTCCGTGTTTTACGAGTGACTTAATTAATTAATTTAAATACATGAGCCAATCACAGCCCGGCACGTATGCAGTTTAGGGACTACGGCTGTTTGAAATGTTTTCTTCCATAAAATTAACCGATTCTAGACTAATTTAACTCAACATTTCCAAAGCACGTATAATTTTTTGGGAATAATCCATATAAACTATGCTATAAACAAAAAATTGTAGGATTACTTACCGAGTGTGCACCGTTCGACGACCCATTGCTTAAGCTTGTTTTCGTCGCGGAGCGGCGCATCGAACGGCGGGCGCGTTTCCCGATAAGTTATTTTTCTGCGAAAAATTCTCTGAACTTCGGAGACATCATTAATTTAAATATAATTTTTAGGGCCGTTGAATAATAAATGTTTTAGTAGGTCCAGTGCTCGTCCACAAACTCAACAATTTGTGCAATATCCGCTATTGGTCTAGATTCGATCAATCCTGTCGCATCACGACTCGGCGATGACGTTTTACGTGTCTCTTTTAGCGTGTTTATACGAATACGATCGCAATTTTTTCGTCGTGTTAAATGAACTCGTGTTATAGGGGTCTACTGTACCTACAATGGGTAGGCCTGGCCGAAAACCCACAACGTGGCCCGATATATGCGACACAGTTCATGCTCGGAAAAATTTTGGGGGTTTTTCGACCCCGAGTGTCCCATAGTAGTAGGCTAATAGCTTAACCTCCTTGGCTCGAAATGGGCTGACTGAACATGACAAACATATCAAATAAGCTGGGCCACACCCTTCAACTGTCCAAAGTGTGCTTCTCACCAGAGCTGACCACGTAGCGTTTTCTTCACGTGTATAATATCAAAACTTCTAACTAAAAATGTCACTTAGAAACCACAAACATTATTAAAAACAACAGGTTTTAATTTTATTCTGTTGGTAACAGGATGTATCCATTGCTTACAAAGTCGTCAAATGCTTGTACTTACATCTGGCATAATAATAATATGAGAATATACAATCATTACACATGCAAGTGCACACACAACTAGTAAACAATACGCTCCGTAGTAGATCTGGAAAAATTCTTGCAGGCAGGCCTTCGACTCCTTATTATGCCACTGCAAGCAGTACAATAATAAACACACTTAAATATTTGTGTGTTGGTTATTGGATAATGTTCAACTGATCAATTTCACTCAAAGTAATGCCATTAAGAAGTCTGTTCAAATGTTGCATAGTTGAACACCATTTTGCCTTAATACCCTACAAAAATGTAGGTATTTGCAGAGACTTTCATCAGATTCCATTTTTGAGAATGCATTTTGTATTTTGCATTCTTGAAATTTCAACAATTGCCCAATGTCTGAGAAAATCAGGAACCGCTTCTCAATACCGTGAAGATTGTCAGAATTTCAAGCTGTTGCGGCTGCAGAGTAAGCTGATATGAATCCAAAAATATCAATTAAACATTATTGTTGTTTTTCTTTATATTGGCTTTGTGGACTTCTTGTATGAGGGTAATTCAACTTTGCCTGGAATTTAAGCAATTGTGATGTGTTACATGCACTTTGGGCTATATGTCTTATACATAAATTGGGATTACAATTTATATTTCTTTCTCTAGGTATTCTCCACACACCGATTTCTCCCATTACTTTTCCACAAATGCAGAACGGAACAAAACTATTTTGGCAGTTGTTGGAGACACTGCACGACATGCTCAGACTTCGGCATACCGGTCGAGTCGCCCGTCTTCTGAATCTTCCTCCAAAGAACCAAACAGATGATAATCGCACCGTGACGGATCCTAACGGCCAACAATCCAAAATTTCCCAAGTCCGTTGATTGCGGTTGTAATGCCACATGCAGGCTGTGTTCCAAATGACTTCTATTCTGCAGGCATCACTGTCAAAATGACGGGAGAAGTGTATGTGGAGAGGTAAGGTACCTACCTAGAGGAAGAAGCATAGATTGTGACTTTGTAACATGGTTCCATTGCTATTACTGAATTTCCCTAAGTTGAACTGGCCTATATTATATTAGTTATGCATACAAAATAAGGTTTTTTAACCATTATATTCTACATACTAAGTTAAATTTTACTTAATGAAAGCAGCTTAGTGATCAACCATTATCTTGTACTGTACCACTTCTCCATTTACTGTTTCCAATCAGTCTATAATGTCTAATTCACTTTCTTTCTCTGCATTCACGTCTTCTTCCATCTCTTGGTCATGTACTGGATAGTATGTTCTGGAAATTGCTGCATGATTTGCATAAACAGTGCAATAAATAGAAGAATAAATTATATTACTACTACTTAAAATGGTCTTATATTGATCATTGCACATTCAAGAATTAAATAGGTTTGCTTTTTAAAGAGAAATGGTAATTATTCTTAACTTTAATGAAGGGAGTTTCAAGAAACATCACTAAATTACTATACCAAACAGATACTACTCACTTATTTTCGGCTAGTTCTTGATAAATATGGACTTGCCCAAGGAACTGTGTTTGCTAATCTGACAGATCAGTGTATATACAATTCTAAGGCTCATTTTTATTTAATGCCAAACTAGTAATTTATGATAACCGACATTTGATGCAAAAAAGGAAAGTACAGGGCATTATAAGTTGTCGTCGGGGGTTCTACCCCCATAATTTTTCAATCAGAACCAACAAAATAAAACCACTTAGTGTATAAAAGTATATCCCAGAGTGAGAGAGATTCCATAGTCTTTGCACTCACCCAACATTTCTTCCTGTGGGGATATTGAAGGACATTGCTTACGGGACCCCTCGTGATTGTTTGCATGAAACTGAAGCTCAGAATTGTTGCTGTGATAGAGACAGTTACACCACAAATGAAGAGAAACTGATTGTCGCATGGATATTTTAGGTGCCACAAAAGGTGTGCATGTTGAAGTCATTGTTTAACATTTTACAGTATCAATTCCACATTTTTGAGTTACACTTTCATATTCCAAGTTTTATTTTGTTGGTTCCAGCCAAAAAATTATAGCGAATGGGAACCACAACAATAATTTAGAATCATTCTGTACCTCATCTATTGTTGTATTTATTTCTTTGTAAGTTTTATATCCTTTAACTGAGAATCCTGTCTGAATTCCTTTTCTAGTAATAATGCAAGTGACTTAAACTTTTAATTTTATATGTAGGTTACTTCTAACATTTTGCATCCTTGTCTTTATAATTTTTAAATAAATAAATATAACATTCCCGGGTTTAACACAAATTCACTATCTTGCATTGATCAACTCTACTTGCAAACTGCAGAAATTGGCATTTTGCATGCTGCTATCACAACCAATATACAAAAATTTATCAATTACACGGGGTCTGTCAGAAAAATGGGAGATTACAAATAGACTATTATTAACTTTTGAATATAATAGTCTATTTGTAATGTAAGGATTCTCACTGACGTGCAAACACTCCTCACATCTTCAAAGCGCATCATGCGTTTATAATGTATTCTCTGGTATGTTGTCGTGTAATGAACTTTTGCTTCAAGTTTTGATACTTTGTAGATGATCTTCATATTTTTCCCGTGTCTTCGTGCCGTATTCATTACTGTGTGTCATAATTGGTTCAAACACCATTGTATAAAGACTTTACTATGTCTCCTGTATAACTACTTTACCACACTTCTATATAATTTAATGTGTTTATTTACATTTTAAGTAAATTTGATCATTTACGTAATCCTTATTTATATATTCATTTACAGAAAAGCCATAATATTAGAAAAATAAATACTAGATGATTGAAGAAAAGTAGAACTTGAAATAAGTGGTGGAAGTCGGACTTAGTGATGCCGTGAGAAAGTACCTGCTGCACCACCTGAATGTCCGACCCTCGGCACTGTCAAACTCTACTTTCTGACATAATTAGGAGTCCATCTCTTAAATTTAGCATCTTATGATGATCTTATGATCATCTTGATTAAGCAGATGATCTTATGATCTTCAGTAAGTTACAAACCATCTTGTTTTTTAACGTATATATTAACATATACTTACTACATTATATTTTTGAAAAGTATAAAAAAAAATAACAAAAATTAAGAACAGTATTTAACATTTAATACTAAAAGATACAAGAGTTGAATGATAAATAAAGCTTCCATTTGTAGAGAATTAGTTCGAGAAAAAGTAGAATAATACATCAATAGCTAGCCGTAAACACTAAAAGATCATGCACATCCACATAAATTTTTCGAAGAAATCACCGTTTAGACCCAAGTTACCCAAATCTGGAGCACAGCACAAGTTAATCTTGCCCCAAACCCATCTTGCACATCACTTGTGACCTATTTTTAGTATATGGAATATACAAAATACTTGCAGCTCACCTGCCGATGTCTCATGTAATTTGGCCCACCAATTTATACCAACATTCAATCCATCTTTGTATCCTACAAATGAAATTCAGCAAGAAATGTTAAGAACTTTAATTTCTGAGTTACTCTGCACCGTTGGGCTTCCGGTCACTCCCAAAATTAAAGGCAGTGCCGAAAGGCAAGATGCTTTTTGTAGCATGCCAAAGTTCGAGTTGCCTTGTGGGAATGGTTTAAGGGAAACAAATCAAAGAGCTTTATCATGCATGTAATGCAGAAGTGGATCAAAAACTTGGAAAAATGCTGGAATAACTTGTAATTACAGTAATAAATGAATACATAAAATTAAAATAAATTATTTCTACCTCTTCAGAAACTAACTTTATAAAAATGCAGACCTCATTTATCAATCAACCTCATATTTTAAATAAAATAATTTAAAAATTTAATCCTTACGGCTTCTAAATTTCTCTAAAAAAAAAAGGGGAAATTTTCTGAGGAAGACGACGATTTCGTTACTTTACGGGAATTTGTCTGTTAACGAAAACAAATAAACAAACAATGAAACTTTTTAAAAATAGAAATAAAGAAATAAAAAATCATAAAATACATAAACAAATATTTTTATTATTTATTTTTAAAAACTTATAACTCATTTCCAGTTGGATATCGTCATGGAAACTTTTCAAACAATTATTTATTTATATCTCACAAGCCATAGTAACAAGATTGTTTGAATTCACTCTAGAGATGCAATCCTTGTGGCAACTGATCATTCACGCATCAGAAAAACAAATTTTTTTTTTAATTTTTTTTTTTTTTAACTTCTCCATCACAGCAGTTTATTCAGCAACCACAGCTACTTACACAATTTGGTGGCCCAGAAATTTCTAGGGGCCTTCAATCAACCAGGAGAACATCGAAAACAAATTACAGGTGCAATGATAACAAACTGTTTGCGGTTCGGACCGAACGGCAAACGAAGATGACTATGCACTGAGGGGGATGAACCGAGTGCAGTGGACCGATAAAGATCAATAAATGCTCCTCTTTCTTTTTTTTTTATGTTTTTTTTTTTGTTCATTCGCATTAAAATAACAGTCATTGTATAAGATCGTCCACATTTGCGAAAGCACAAGAGCCTAATCCCGACCGTGACATCAGTCTTATTAATTCACGGGTGTGAGCCAGTGCTAGTTCCAGAGGTGGCTGACGAGGCAATTTCTGGGATTCTGTAAGAGAAACAACAAAAACGGGCTTTTAAAAACGGATGGAAGATTAGATGCTATACGATTTTATTACTGAATGCCGAAAATATTACAAATTTTAATAAATAATTTCCTTAATAATTTTTTTTTTAAGAGTAATANAAATTTTAATAAATAATTTCCTTAATAATTTTTTTTAAGAGTAATAACATTATATACAAGACATTTAATTACAGATTGTGATTTAATTACACTTGTGATTTGCCATATTTAAGTTCTTGCGTACAGTGTCTTGACAGTTGCTTGCAACAGAACAACTGACATCAAATTGAGTTTGATGTCGTGGTCATGCTCCATAAGACATTGCAACTAAATTAAAGATTAAACTATACTATGCGACACCTTACGAATGTCTTTGCGTATGAAATACTTTAAAATATTGCCATCAAGCGGCACTATGGCACAAACTGTCTGACAATACATTTGGTTGCATCACATTGATAAATGCTATACACAACAACTTAAAATTGGGCTTTAAGTAATTAACATTAAATTTCCTAAAATAAACTATCTGTGCCGAGCTGTTTGGATCCGTCTGCTGTTTTACTAGTAACATATATAAAACTGATAAATTTATTTACCAAGAATGGCACTATTAAGGGCAGCACAAACTGGTTCTCGTTGTACTGGGTCAAGCTGAAATCCTACCGGACTATTCCACGGATCAGCGTAAGCTAAAAGACTGAAGGCATCCTGAGAACAAAGATTAAGATATATATTTAATAAAATATTCATTTATAATTAGAGTTAAATATTGATATATTGTTTCCATCTGTATATATGTAATGTAACTCATTAAAAATGATTAATGCAAAAAGAAAAATTATCCAAAAATTCATTATTATGTTCACAGATCAATCCAAATCCAAAATAGAGCTTAACCCAATTTAAATTTTATCTCATTTCCAGTTGGATATCGTCATGGAAACTTTTCAAACAATTATTTATTTATATCTCACAAGCCATAGTAACAAGATTGTTTGAATTCACTCTAGAGATGCAATCCTTGTGGCAACTGATCATTCACGCATCAGAAAAACAAATTTTTTTTTTAATTTTTTTTTTTTTTAACTTCTCCATCACAGCAGTTTATTCAGCAACCACAGCTACTTACACAATTTGGTGGCCCAGAAATTTCTAGGGGCCTTCAATCAACCAGGAGAACATCGAAAACAAATTACAGGTGCAATGATAACAAACTGTTTGCGGTTCGGACCGAACGGCAAACGAAGATGACTATGCACTGAGGGGGATGAACCGAGTGCAGTGGACCGATAAAGATCAATAAATGCTCCTCTTTCTTTTTTTTTTATGTTTTTTTTTTTTTTGTTCATTCGCATTAAAATAACAGTCATTGTATAAGATCGTCCACATTTGCGAAAGCACAAGAGCCTAATCCCGACCGTGACATCAGTCTTATTAATTCACGGGTGTGAGCCAGTGCTAGTTCCAGAGGTGGCTGACGAGGCAATTTCTGGGATTCTGTAAGAGAAACAACAAAAACGGGCTTTTAAAAACGGATGGAAGATTAGATGCTATACGATTTTATTACTGAATGCCGAAAATATTACAAATTTTAATAAATAATTTCCTTAATAATTTTTTTTTTTAAGAGTAATAACATTATATACAAGACATTTAATTACAGATTGTGATTTAATTACACTTGTGATTTGCCATATTTAAGTTCTTGCGTACAGTGTCTTGACAGTTGCTTGCAACAGAACAACTGACATCAAACTGAATTTGATGTCGTGGTCATGCTCCATAAGACATTGCAACTAAATTAAAGATTAAACTATACTATGCGACACCTTACGAATGTCTTTGCGTACGAAATACTTTAAAATATTGCCATCAAGCGGCACTATGGCACAAACTGTCTGACAATACATTTGGTTGCATCACATTGATAAATGCTATACACAACAACTTAAAATTGAGCTTTAAGTAATTAACATTAAATTTCCTAAAATAAACTATCTGTGCCGAGCTGTTTGGATCCGTCTGCTGTTTTACTAGTAACATATATAAAACTGATAAATTTATTTACCAAGAATGGCACTATTAAGGGCAGCACAAACTGGTTCTCGTTGTACTGGGTCAAGCTGAAATCCTACCGGACTATTCCACGGATCAGCGTAAGCTAAAAGACTGAAGGCATCCTGAGAACAAAGATTAAGATATATATTTAATAAAATATTCATTTATAATTAGAGTTAAATATTGATATATTGTTTCCATCTGTATATATGTAATGTAACTCATTGAAAATGATTAATGCAAAAAGAAAAATTATCCAAAAATTCATTATTATGTTCACAGATCAATCCAAATCCAAAATAGAGCTTAACCCAATTTAAATTTTANCTGTATATATGTAATGTAACTCATTGAAAATGATTAATGCAAAAAGAAAAATTATCCAAAAATTCATTATTATGTTCACAGATCAATCCAAATCCAAAATAGAGCTTAACCCAATTTAAATTTTAGTTAACCGAAACAAGCTGACTACTTATAAGTATAAAAAGTTACTTAAATGTAATAAAGAATTTATTCCAATGCACTACAACATATTGCTTTATTCACAGACAATTCCATGTTTCTATTTTATTGAATACAATTAAGTTTTAGTTTATTGTTTCATTGTTTTTTGAGAATAGTAAACATGGTGTTGCTTATCGGCTTTTGAATATATTGATGCAATTACTCCATGTAATAAAAAGTACACAAATGGTGTAGCACAGTCTCAGAAAGGTTGAAAACCACTGATCTACAGAGTGTTTTGAGAGTCTTGGCAGGAATGTTGTGATGTATGATAGCAAGGACAAGTCTACATTAGTATGTGAAAAGTACACATTATTTGACAGGAAATGAAGCACCTCACAATCTTTAAATGTTCCAAGCCCCGTGTGAATAATGTGAAGTGCTTGACCAAGATTCACAAAATGACACGTTTGTATATTTGATGTATAAAATCAATCTTTTTATATACAAATTCAATTAAATTCTATTTACAAATAGAGCACATGTAACAAAACTTTGGTAATATTTATTAAACAAATATAATCAGGCACTGTATGCTAAATAATACTATATAAGAATAATGAAATTCAAATATCGAAACTTCTTTGGATCAAACAGGTTCCAATTCCAATTATTTTCGTCGGAACCAAGGTGAATTGTGAAAGATTACTTTGTCAAGAAAGACAAGAGAATATAATACAGTGTAATTTGTTCTTTGTAACAAATATCCTGTCTTATCCAAGTTTTTGATTATGTGATTATTTTCTAGGATAACTAGGACTCTACAGTATAGATCCTGGTAAGATTTGAACAATAATTAAAAGAATCAGATATATATTCTAATTAAAAACCCATAAAAATCTGGCAAAAATTGAAAATGATATCTCAAAAATTTTGGGGCATACTAATTTGAAAAATACTTATTTCCAATTCAATTACTTATTGTAGTAGTTTATAAAATGTGATTTTACAATAACTGGATGTAGACTCATTTCTGTACAGTACCTTCCATTACAAAATCTACAGTATGTATTAGCAATTTTAATTTAAATAATTGGATAATATTGTAATGTTTTATTTTAAATTAAGCAATATTTTTGCTTGTTTGAATTAAAATAATTAAATCATTGTACATTACTATAAAACAATATAACAATAACTTAAAATAAAAGTATTAGATGATAGTGGGTGACCAAATAAATTCACTTGCAAAAAGCAGACCCGGCAATACCACAAGCTGGCACCAGCTTATTATTACCCTGCTACCCACCGTAAGAATCACTTCAAGCTAAGTTTGCATTGGAATACGAACCTCTACAAAGTGGATACGAACTCCTGTTCGTCCCGTTTTGAAGAGTGTTTGACCAATCGACTTTTTACAACTAATATTTGTACCCATTTTGACCAATCACATTGTTAGTATGTGTCACGTAGTACAATGTGGACAATATTTCATTTCAGTCAGTGTCTGTATTCATAGTGGTTCATACAACAACATAAACTAAGCTTAAATCTCGCTAATTTAATTACTAAGTATGTGAGAAATAACATTTGAACGTCCTTGCCGAAAAGCCATTTGTTCGATTGCCCGTATTGACGACACTAAGTAGTTAATAATTGTTTGAATGATTAAAACCATTTAACGCTAAAAATTCTTTTACCTGTAATAACTTTTTATTTGTTTCATTTGTACCGTGCTCCCGTTTCAACTGGACACTCATGATGTGTAATTCTCGACCGAACTGGAGCATTCTCTCGATTGCGGCATGACTTCTATCACATAACTGTTTTCTTCCGACAGGTTGATCGATTTCTACAAAAAGTTTAAAATTAAAAATCTGTCAAATAGTCAATATTTAGTTAAATATCAATAAATAATAAAATTATAATTACAATGAAATTTTTCTTGTGCCATTATGCAACTCTAATTAAGCCAATATAGGTGACTAAGAACATTCAAACTAAACTAGACCAAAAATGGATGAGAATAAACTACATATTATTAGTTTATTATTAGTCTACTAGCAGTTTTGTAGTATGCTGGTACTCAAAGTTCAAAACTCCTTAAGAAAAAAATGCATGTGGCCAACCCAAATCCTACAAAGTTCAATTACAGCTCTCATCCGGAAAAGGTCGTTCACCATTGTTTTAAAGCGCATCATCACAATACTGTATGGCATTTACGGGGAGCCATTCAGTGTTTGTTTGATCTTGGATGTAACAAAACAATACAACTTGCTTTATTTCAGATAATAGTTAATAGTAAGTTTGTCAACCCCATCTTAAATAGAATACATGACTATCAAACAGCATTGTTCTATCAAATTGTTCATAAAACTTCACAAAATATCACCAAGAAACTTTTCTTTCATAAGCCGAAGATTCAAAAGAAATGCAGTTTGCAAACAACTGAAAATATTCAAAAAACAGTAATCAATGGAAAAGGTTTAAGTTTTACATATGACATTGCAGTTTTTCGTACAGTAAATGCTGAAAACATCCCGAAATCCAGAGGAGTGAGGTCGGGAGACCTAGCAGGCCGAATTCTGTGGGATATTATGCAACCGGCAAAGAAGTATTCCAAAAACGGGAATGTCTGCAAGTGAGGATAATGCCATCTACCGTAAAGTGGAAACACAGGACATACAACTTACGGGTCTGGTATACAATGTTGCATGTATAACTTTAACGTAATTACAAATTTCTCACCACACAGCAACTTTTTGAACACTCATACTCCAAGAGTATTAGCAACATGTTGCTTCTAAGACAATGTCCCATATGACAATGCCTGGCAGCCAGCTCAAATAAACGTACTCCCAAACAAAGCGGACAAACCAATTTAATTGCGTATGCACGTCTGGAATAACGATATTTAGCAGTTAGCACCCACCAGGCAGCGTGACCTACACTCTCAAGTGAGAAGTGACAACTAAAATAGTTGCTACCTTCTGATGAGAATCTACAAGAATTTTTTTTTTTTTGCAGAAAAATTGCTGAAAAATTTGTAAAGATTACCAATTTGATGACTTTTTATAAAAATGGTAAATTGGATATCCTTTCTTTTTACAGAAAATTTGCATTCAATTTCCATAAACAACTTTCAACAGTAAACATTTGCCAGCTGCTATAATTTCCAATCTCCCTCGATCAATGCTTCCAGTTTCCTCAACATTATTATTTTGGAAACTGTCAATTTGCCAAATTTTAGCTTTGCAGCTATCGACACGACGACTTTCCCTTGTCATAATACTTTACGATTTCTTCTGTAATATTGCAGCACACTGCTTTTCCAAGTGTCATACATCTTACTAATTTACACGAAATGAATATTACTTTGTATGTGTAACATGCAAGTAATAAGCAGATTACATCCAATAATATTTAATAGGTGAGTATAAACATTTCATTTTTAGTAGCATCTGAAGTTGCTGTCACCTTTAAAAATGTATTTCTTCGATAATTTACACAAGTATTTGCACTTTTATTGAGTTCATTACATTTACTGATGTTACAGTTTAACAAAGAATAGTTTTGTATCTTACAATCTAAAATAAAATGCCGCTAATATTCAAGAGACATTCGAGGTATTTTTTGTTCGATTTGTATGCATAATTTACAAGCAGGTCCTAAATTAAATTTACTATATTCTACTATAAAAAGAAAAAACAAAGATTATCTTCTTTGTCGTATAAATGCCAAGTATTTAATATAACAAGCAAAACAATGAATGTAAAAAAGAATTATGCACATCTAAATATTGGTTTAAGTGATGACATTTATTATATTAATTAAATTATCAACAACCGTGAGCCAGATAATAGTAATTTTATTCGTTTAAAATTTAATTTATAAACTATTATCTATTCACAGTTCACTATTATCTGCCTCACGGTTGTTGATAATTTAATTAATATAATTATACCAAAGGGCTAGAAGCAATTTTTATAAGGATGACATTTATATTTTAAGAAAAAAACACCTTTCTGTTTTAGTAATACAGTAGTTTATATTAATCGAGTCGATCAGGATTACGTTCTTATGACAACAGATAGCTTAATAACTACTCAAAAATATATTTAAATGTCGGGAACAAGAAAACTTCTCTTAAAAATATGATACTCTTTATTTGATGCTAACTGCCGTTTCTATATTAATAATTTCTTTTGATTCAAAACATACTCTAATGACAATCGGAATCAAAACATACTCTTACAATGAAACCGAACACAGTTTCATCAAAATCAAAACATACTCTTTAGTTATTTTATCTAGATTACGACTACATACAAAGCAACTATAGCCAAAATTATATTAATACTCTGCCTAAAAACCAAGAGGTATTTTACCAATGCCATTATACAATCGTTTTGAAGTTTACATACATCTGGAAACAAAAATAAGACAGAGTTAGGTAGTGTAATTGGCAATGCATCTGCAAATTATGTGGAAAATGCAGGCTTGAGTCACTCTTCAAGTCAATATATATTCTTCCAGAATCTTCTCAACTTTATCAATTAAATTTAAATGAATCAAAATCATTAAACAAATAAATAAAAATAAAAACGATCATTCCCGAGAAGAATTTTTTCTAAAAGGGGGTGATGGGGCACCAATGCTTTCTCATAAACTACTGTACAAGACGCAATTCACATTCTGTAGTTGAGTTCGAATGCACTGCCATTTCCTAATATTAATGTATAGACATACATTAATGTTAGTATGAGGACATTCAGAAAATAACTTCCCCACTTAATAAAAATATACTGTTGTAAGTATTATTCACACATGTTGTTTAATCACTCGATCAACTGCACATGATGCTGTACAACATTGTGTGTAGTCGATTTAAAAAACATAGTTGCTACCGTATGAGGTTGCAACTATGTTTATTGAGAGAAAATCTTACGTAAATATGAATAAACATATTTCATTTCAATGGTATACAATGCTGTTAAACAAGTTTTATAATCGAAATCCATTTTTTCTAAAACGTTATCATAATGTTGTAAAAATTAAGCATTACAGGCATACATGCTACTTCCAATTTAAACATATAAAGACATTTATTTAAACTGGTAGTAATCTGAATGGAGGTTAGTCTAAGCCCAGATTTATTTTGTACAAACAGACTTTGATGTTAATGTCAAGTGAACGGCATTTAACCCTATGTTGTTCTCATTGTGTCTCCCCAACATCATACAATCAGAAGAAAGAATGACACTGTAGATGATTATGTTGTGTTTCTTCTGACCATTTAAGACAAATTGTGACAAAATCAAAATGTGGTAGAGAAAATCTTGCAAAAGAAGAGAAAAACACATTAGCAGAGAGATTAAAAGTCAAAAATAGAGCTTTTAACTTCTCAGATCTTTGACCTTTCTGCTCTGTGGATATTAAGATGGCCTTTTTAATCATATCTAATACACATTAGATATGATTAGCCATCTCCATCATGCTCTGGGATATCCAAAATTCCTGAGGTTACTCGCCCTGCTTCGGTTCAGAATCCCTAGAGTAAGCCAATGCTTTAACAGTCTTGACCATTTGGCCATCAAAGTACGCCGTTGTTTTGAACAGTAATTCAAATTTTATATGTGGTATATACAAAGCAAAGGAAAATGATTACCTCAAATTACTACAGATCAGTACAATACAAACATATTGTGCACATCCAGTCTAATGCTTAACACAAGGTATGCCTTAGGGCTAAACTTCCAGCATTACTTCACATCAGAGACAGTGCTTGGAGTCTTCATTTAAACAAACAATTTTGGTTTGGTCTAGAAAGATTCTTCATTAATGGATTTACTGTTGGAAACAAATCCATAACACACAAAGTCCTTCACATCAAAAAAGCCATAAGAATTACACTTTTTCTTGGATCTGTCTCAAAAGAATTCTTTTTGCCCCAATAAAGAGGACAATTTCCACATTGGCACATTTGATCAGCCAGTCATATATGAAATATTAAATTTCACTACCAATAAATTGACCTGTTCAGAATATACGAGCCTTTATAACAAGTTCTCCATTGATGAGTGCACATTCTTTGCATCGATCATCTGTTAATTTTCTTGGGACAACGTAAAAACGGACGCCACGTATTTCCGAGTTGTCACATAGTACAGCACAGACCGAACAAAATTCCTAAAATATCAACAAGACTGTCTGTTGATTTCCTACTAAAGTCAGTCTACCCGAATGGAGATCGTCATCTATTTGTTCGCAGCCTTCTTTAAAACTTGGTTCTGTTTATTAAAGTTGTAGCAAAAAATCAAAATGTAGCTAAATTAAGGCAACACAACATCAATGTCATCAAGAAATTGATAAGTAATGTCAAAAGTTAAGTTTATTCTTAATTCTACTATGTATTCCTAGCAAAGTCAATCAAAATTCTCCTATCTTAAAGAAATAAATACAGATTCTTCTGAAAAAGAATACTAACATTTTAAATTACTGCAATTATGTTAATTATTACCCAAGAAATATGCATTATATATCAAAAATTAAAGTAATTGAGTTTCATCTAACATTTAAACTTGTCTACTGCCTCTAGGGAGCTCCCTAAACAAAAATGGCAACATTGCAACCGAGAAAGCATTCCGTGTCCTACAACCCGCTAACTCGGAATAGGTCTTTGTTGGATGATACGAATTTCATGAACAATTTCAAAGCAACTTGCCGCGTAAGGTAAACATTCCTTTGTAAAGGGTCAAGTTCTCACTAAGGTAAAGTAGCAATTGACATTTTAAAAAAGATTAGAAATATCTACATGTCAATTTTAAAGAGATCAGCAGCCTCTCTATTTAT